TAATCATTAGTTTTTAGCTTCTTGATAAAAAGCACTGAGTTCAGCATTAATACGATTTTTCTTATATCGCAAGTACTTTAGACGAGTATTATATCGTCGTCCTCAGGCGAAAAAAGAACAAATTTGAAAATTAGAACGTGCAGAGTGTTCCAAGTAGAAAACGGAAAAATTTTTCTTGTCAATTTCTAAATTATAGCGTTCGGTAATTCCGTTGGTCACATGCAACAAGCTTTTCATTTAGGATTTAATTATGCAGATCATTTAGGATTTAATTATGTACCAAACTGACAAAACATACAGCTTTTCTTACTTGGTCATCTTATTTCACATTAGTTTCCTTTCTCTATTGATTAGAAAATTGCACAGTAAGAAAACTTTATTCTTCTCAAAATTCAAATAGGAAAAAAAGACAGCTTCAGATTTCCACTCACGTTTTGGAACAATTCTGGAAAACAAGCAGAAGCTTGAAAATGTTAAAAGCCCAAAAATTTTTACACTTTTTGCTTCAAATAATACACACTTCTATTTTTTCTCATGATTTTACCACTGTGTGCAGTGGCAGCACTGGGTATGGCCTGAGAATGGATGTGGTGGACTAGACTAGTCCCCTAAATTCATTGAAGTATTGTCTGAATATTATTTTTAATGCATTTGTACTTGAAACCTTTCACTTGAAAAATATGTATTTTTTTGTGTATTTTTCCCATCCAACTTCCCCTCCATTATGCTGAGTTCAACTCTTCCATGAACCAACCCGAACACCTCTCAGGTTTCCTTTAATTGATTCATCGACAAGACAAGCTTGCAGATACACATTCCTGTCATACCATTGTGTTTTGTGCACATCCAAGCTGTTCTGTAATAAGAGATTTTGTTTCTTGTTCTTATTGAAAACAACACTGCATTAGTGATTTTCATATTTCTATTATCATAAAACATTTAAAGGTTCTCATCTAAAGTGTGAATCTATTTAAAGACTGTATATGTGATTAGAAAGCTTCGAATTCAACACGAAAAGGGACTCATTAAGAGTAGCGGCTTCTTTGCAGAAAACATAAGGCAGTTTGTCAATGTGGCAATCTGTGAATATTGCAGCTGATCTAGGTGAATTGTCACAGCAAAGTGAAGATAATCAACAATTTCTGTGCTGTATTCTGGATCGTCTGCTTAAAATATTGTTTGGAGCCTTAAGTTTCCAAGAAAAAACAATGCATCAATGAGATGCTTAACTTTCCTGGCAATATTTAAAACTGTGTTGCATCATCTGTTATATTTTATTAAAAGCTTTTTATATTTTTAATTATTATAAAATTGCAAAAAGCTTAGTTTTGAGGGTAGAGATGGTTTTATTAAAAAAATTTGTAAATGCTAATAACAAGTAAAATCGTCATTAAGTCCGACCTACTCAAGATACAACACATGACGCCCCTTTACCTCCCCACCCCATCGACCTTTAACCACCAAAGTTTAATAGCGTCAATCCCCTAATACTCGAATCTCCCTGCAAAATTTCAAAAATTTTTGACAAAAGACACAGAAGTTATTAGAGAGGTTGAGGCCGAAGTTTTCATCTCTAAAACGTGAACGTTGAACGTCGATTGCTGCCATCTTGTAAGCCTAGAACTCTGAAAATGTCGTTTGGAACGTCAAGCATGGCAAGTAGAAGTTTGGCTTAAATGTCTGCATTTTTCTGTGTTTTTGGTTAAAATTATGATGTATTTTATTCAAATAATGATTATGTAAGCATTTATGAATAATACTGTAAAAAAACAGATGATTTTAATTCAGAAATTATTTAATTTCTGCATTTTTCTGTGTTTTTGGTTAAAATTATGACGTATTTTATTAAAATAATGATTATTTAAGCATTTATGAATAATATTGTAAAGAAACAGACGATTTTAATCCAGAAATTATTTAATTATTCAATTTTTTTGCAAGTGATGTGAAGTGCCTATAGAATTTACATATATTTGTCTTCATAATAGCTTATCTTAAGGTAGGTTTGTTCTTCCACGGCATCTTCTACTATCAACAGCATAATTCATTTGTAAATTTCTAGAAATAGTTTAATTTGTTTATTTACCTTTGCTGGTAACCTTTGTCGCTTTTGAATGTTTCTGCCATTTTTCAACAATATCCCATGAATCAGTGCATGACGTAAACATGTGGCGCAGCATGATTCACTTAGGGTTCAAACATCAAATGCGTACAAATTTAAAGCTTGAACTCCGGCTGCAACCTCTCTATTAAGCTTCAAAGAAGTAAACAAAGTTGTCCCCTCCTCCACACTAACTAACAATTGTACATACAGAAAAATCTTTGAATTTTTGCATTTCTCAACATTTCAAGGTGTCCCGAGTCCAAAAATGTAAAAATCTTGGAGGAGGGGTAATTTTTTGACCGATCACCATACTTTCCTTCTGTTATATATAACAGAGCCGGGAAAGTAAGATTAATGTGCAAATAAATGAGTTTTTTTCAGGTGTTTAAGTAATAATTGTTATAACGTATAAAAAATGAGTTTTCTCATATCTGTCACTTTTGAAAATTGTCACCACATGCCACTGACCATACAATTCTATAATCTTCATTTGCATATAGAAGCTTCCAACTAGCATGGAGAAAGTCATCCCAGGTACTCGTATGCTTTAATAATAACACTTCATTACACGACAGGTATAAATGTGTTATAACATTGATGAGTGGAGAAAAACATGAATTTGCAGAAAGAGCCACTGTCTAAATGGAATTTGCATGGTATCCCAGTATACGTGTGGATTTTATACATGTACTCAGGTTTCCTCCCGCATCCCAAAAACATACATGTTAGGTCCGTTGGTATATCAAAATTTTCTCAGTACGAATAACTGCGGTCTGCAATGGAATAGCATCTTGTCTGGGTAGGTCTAATCACTAAACTCTGAATGAGTTGGAAAATTCGCAAATGAATACAAATTACTGTAAAATAACAATTCATAAATTTTATGATAATCATACAAATGCACAACAATAGGGTACGTTCGTAAAGTCAAACGAGTTAAACGCGTTAGTAATGAATCATTCGAATAGTAGTAGTCTCACTCAGTGCGCATGCTCTGCGGTGATGACGTTTCGAACGAAACTCTAACAAAGTTCACGAAGGAAAGAGTTAGTTTACTTCATTAAGAAAATGGCGCCCAACGATATCGATGTTTCTAAATCTACTCGAGTGTTTAAATTGTGAATTAAAAGATGAAATGATTGAAGTAACTGTCCACCCGAAGCAATCTAAGAAAAATATTTCGGATAAGGCTGTACTAGCAACATTTGTATCTTCGATTTTAGAAACAGCCATTTAGTTCTAAACAAATCGTTCGAAAAGTCTAACAAAATAAGAATAACGATGACGTCATTCTTGTTTAACTCGTTCGACTATATGAACGTGCCCAATAAACTATTCAATACAGAAATGCTCAAAATTTAAGCTTATCTCCCCCATACCACCATCACCACTTGCTGATTCTCAACACTGGGTAAATAATTATATTATTTTCATTAATTTATTATTTTATTATTATTTTCTTTCTTAAATGTAATATTTATAGCTTGTATTTAATTCGACATGTAATATTAGAAATTTTTTAGATCTTTAAAAGTTTGGCGATGTTTCTGTAACCAGAAATACATAGAAACTTAACTTTTATCAATATTAATTAGCCTACAGTAAAATTTGTTTTGTGGCATAGTAAACACTAGTATTGTGTTTTATTCCAAAGACACATGGGAAATTTTCCATCAAATTCCTTTATTAGTTGAGTCAACTAATAAAGGACCATGTGATTTGCCATGTGTCTTTGGAATAAAACACAATACTAGTGTTTACTATGCCACAAATATAAAACAGGACACGGTTTCAAAAAACAAAAAAAATTTGTTTTATTATACATCGTTTCATTCGGAGTCGTAGTTTCCAAGAACCTACAAACATTAATTAAATAAGGACATAATTTACTAACAAATCCTTAGCAGCAATGGTTTCTTAGCAATATATGACCAATTTCTGTACATAATTCAAAAAGATAAAGTAAATTATTTCAAATAAATAGATTTTAATGCCTTCAAATAATGACATCAATTGCTTTTGAATGCTCTTCTCCTCATCATCGCAGACAAGACAAGACAAGTATGCTGCTCAAAAACATTCATTTTTGTCTTCTTAAAAGCTGCATTAATACTATTTTTCTACTGCTGCAAAATGTATAGAACAAAAACAATAAACTAAATAGATTTTGCTCCTATTTTTCACCATAATTACACAAGTCAAAGCACAAAGTTAAATCTAACTCCTCACATACCGTATCTAGCAAATACGCCATAAAATTAATGTTGTTTTATCACATATTATAATCTAGTTCGGTCAAACCGCACAAACAATTTAAAAAACCTTTCCGGCATCCTCGCGCACGCTTCGGCCACCGTCGAACGGAGTCCGGAAAAGCATAGCTCGACGCTAAGCGAAAATTTAACCGCAAGTCACTTAAAAATACCACGATCGGACGGTACTAATCCACATTAGGACACCGTCCGTTCTACGTCGCCCGGCGGAGATAAAAACCGGAGACGCGAAATGCCACGGGCGGGAACGTAAACCCATTGCCGTGCACCTCACGGTTCGTCGCACGGGCACAAAAGAGCCGAACACCGAGGCAAAACGCTTCAAACAGCAATCAATAAAATACTCAACACAGGAAAATTAAACACATATATTAAATATGCAAACATAATTAACTTAATTAATGAAATATCAAATGCATCAGCAGAAAAACTGAATTAATTATCATTTTGCGAGCGTATAATTTGCTAAAATGAGGAAAAAGAGGAGAAAAAAGAGATAGAAGTGGCACATCTGATGCGAGAGTGTGCCATATACAGTGCGTTGTACGAAGTAATTACAAAGTGATAATGGAGGAAGATGCACGAAGACGGCATTTTGTGCGAATATATTGAAAATCTCTCACCTCGACAGATCGAATTTCGTGTTGTGTGAGTTCGGCACTGGGAGGACATTGGGTCCTCAGCCCGTCCAGGTGTTTAGCATTGATGTCGATCATAGCCTGGGCCGTGGTGCAAGCTTCGATCGATCTATGATCTTCCCCTTCATCCTCGGCCATCCTTCCGAAAATTTTATAGCTTCATGGCTAAATATCCACACGTTGGGTACACGAACCACTAAACGATCTGCGGGCCGAATGGAACTAGTAGGTTCCATTCTTCGTCTAACATTACCACCGGACCGCCATCTTGGATACCGGTCTCGTACTTTCGCGTTCGCGCGACGTCATTGTACGAGATTGCGCGAACGGTAAAACCGATGACATCATTGGTCGGTTTTCTTTCTTTTTTTTTCCTATCGTTGACCGATGACCTTAATAGCCTTTGCAAAGGCCAAAAGGTCTCCACTATTGGAAAAGTTTATATTATTTTCGCTCCTCGTTTACACGACCGGAGATATAAATTTTGATAAACGATGAAATTAACCAATAGCGAATTATCAAATGATTGTTAGGCGTATAAGATGTTGAAACGTTGCCAGATCTTTTTCGTTATTCTCTATATACAGTGTTTACTTAATTTATAGTTTTTTCTTCGTATTACTTAATTTTAATGATAATAAAATTAAGTTTTTACGGTAAATAATTATAAATTTCTAAGAATAAATAAATTAATAAATTTCAATATAATTTTTAAAATGCTTTCGGATGTCAGACAAATATTACTCGAGTGAGTCCGGATTCGATTTTCATACGTTAGGCCTACTTAAGTCTCATTTTAGTACGAGAAAATATCTCAAAAAGTTGATTATAAAGCATTAAAAACCTGATAAAGTTGTAAAATATAACTATAGCAGTACAAAAATGGCGGAAAAGAAAATTTTTGAAATGTTTTTATACGTATATTTCGAAATTTATTAACGGAGATTGTTGCGTTTTTTTTAATTTTATTCTCACGTTTTGTAGTATTTCCTGTTTCGTAAAAAATTATTTACGAAATTTTAATAATTATTTTTTTTTTTGAATTAAATAAATAAACATCACCCGACTTAAGCCTCAGATATTCAAAATTATCCACTTTAAGAGTACATATGTACCCTTAATCGAGAAATTTTTTATCAATATTATATTTGTTAGTTCCGATAGAATGGATAATACGTCCCGAATTTCCGGTACAATCCCGCTCAAACCGGATGATTTGGCCGATTTCTTCGTTAGATAAGCGCTGGTTAAATTATTTCTCTCGGAGTTTTGACTGTTTCCTAATTACGCAAACGTAATAAAAACAAATAAATATCCTACTTTATATCGCCTTTATCTTGGTTTTTATAATCTAAATTGAAAAAGAATATTTTACTGATGCGTGGAACCAGTAACGAGAGACCTGTGAAGGATGAAAAATCAAATTTCGGTTCATTAAACATTCTTTTTCCTTCTTTATGTAAAGAATTTGCGAATTATACATTTGATGACATAAATATTTAAGAATCTTTAAATGTCGATTTTAAAAAATCGATTTTAAGATAAAATCTTAATTTGAAAACAACGAGTTCCGCAGACTTCAAAAGTCGCCATTTTTGGTCTAAATGGGTGGATATTTAAGAAATAAAATATTACATAATTTTAAATTACTAAAATTTTATTTTTCTATACATTTCTTGATTTTTTAACAGAAAAGGAAAAATATATTTTGCTCGAAAGTTATAAGGAAATGAAGACTTGTACACGAAAGCGCACTTAACAACAATGTAAATGAACTTGAATTGTAAAATATATGACTCACATGTAATTATATCACAGTTATTTTTAATTTTGGGGGAAGCTCAACAAAAATCGGAAAAATACTATAATTTGTACCTGAGGATCCAATTTGTTCGTGTATTTAACGCGATTTAGTGCGAGTAGAAGGGTCACTAAAATGCCAAAATTGTTCTCGCTGGTTGAAAACTACGTCTAATTTCAATTTTTGAACTCTAAATTATTAACTTTTACTTTGAATTAATTGAAATGGCTGCAAAATTACTAAAATTTAACAGCAACTCAAAAAATAAACGGTTCGTACCCGTCTTGTACAGGTTTAGAAGCGATCGCGACCAACACGCATTTTGTAGATACAGCCGTAGTTTATGAATTCCAATTGAGTTGGTAAAGTAAAATTTGTAACGCGTCGGGTGGGGGATACTCGAAATTTAATAATAATGTCCGACTAAAATAAGTGATCACTTAACATTACGTCGCAAAACGTGTACAGGGTTTAAATATCTGCCAATTACTCCACATAAGGTAATGTTTACAACGTGTATCATTCCAGGAATTTTTAAGCAACAACAAAGGAATAATAATGATTTTGTGTAATTTCGAAATGTGATTTATCAGTGTTTACAAAAATTAGCCTTTATCTGCGTTCTTTTAAAAGTACAGTCGACCCGTCACGTATAACTTTACGTGTGATGTGAATTTTTAAAATGGAAGTATTGTAGGGAAAATTTAAGGTGTGAGCAAGCTGTAGCGGGATTGTCACTGTGCAGGCATCACCATACATATGCGTTATAACCGCATCTTATGAATAAAACTAGAAAATACGTTAACACCCGGGTTTTTCTCCATATTTTTGTTTAAGATGAGAAATAATCTGTCCGTAAATCTTGTTGTTTTCGTATATATACTTGGCCCTCTTGCGTTCTTCCGCGGCTATAACTGTTTTGATACCTGGGGCGTGCACCAAGAAGGCATTATCCAAAATGTGCAAGTTGTAGTCTAAGAGGCATAACTCATACATCTGAAAAGAAACAAGAATATATCATGCTTTGCAAAATATATAGCTCGTGAGATCTATTCTAATAATAAATGTAGGTAGTAATCGAAGATTACCACCACTTACCGCTTAGATATATATTTTTGTCGAGTCACGATTCGATGACTCTCCAGAGCCATCTAACCGTGACTCGATTTAAAAATAGATAAGTGTACGTGGATACGTGAACACGTTATTTGCGTAGTTGACCATTGAAATTAGATTTTTTTAATACTCAAGTTTAGACTAAATGGTATAAACTTTGCATATTTAATGCCAAATTTTTGTTGTATCTGCAGTATACAATATTGTAGTATTCAAATTTTATTTCTATACCCTTCGATTTGGGTTTTTATATAATTTTATACAGTGACAAATTGGCAATTTACCACTTTTACTGATTAATTTAAGTCTTCAGCTTAAAGCAACTAGAATCAAACTAGATCAAACTGGATGAAAAATCAAACCAATTTGTTATCTTTGTTCATTGATTTGAGTTTTAGCGCATTCATTTTAATCTTTGTTTCTAGTTTAATTCTTCACGAAAGCTTAAACTAAAAACCAACGATCGAATTGGGTGCCTTAATCGTAAATTCGGCAACAAAGATCTTAGAGGCCTACCAGAGTAATAGGTAGATATAATTATATTCTTCGAGTTTTTATTTTTAAAAATGTATTGTTAATTTTAGTTACCTGAGACATTTTATCTCTCTTTCCTTCCCAGGTGAGTCTTTCGTCATATATAGGTTCGTCGTTAGTACCTATGTAAATGGGTTCCCAAGATCCACGCGGTTTCTGTCGTTTCGTAACGTGAAAAACGGACAAAGTATTTTCGGGAGGTAGGACCTTCAACCATTCTTCCCTCTTAGGAAAATGCTGGCAAGCATCGCAAGTCCATTTATGGAAAAAAATTGCTTCCTTTTTGGACACCATAACTACGAGTTCTTTCTTGGTGTTTGGAGGTTTCATACTCTTTTTGATCTCGAACAGCGGAAGGACGAAAACGCGACGGCCAGAGCTTGTCAATTTAGTGACCATGTCCAAAAATCTGGGCACGATATTGATACTGGGGTATAATTCTATATCGGAAGCCATGACGTAACGAGTTCTAGCACGTTGCCTAGCCAAATTGCGAGCCACGTTGATGGGATACGGTAATTTCTTAACTTTTCGATAGTCGGAGGTACCATTTGGTGCTTCGCTGCAATTGAAAGTTTGACTTCCTTCCTTCCTCATCAGCAACTGCTCGTGAAGAGGAGCGTGCTTCTGTTCAAAGAACATGTGCCAAGTGACGTTCGACTGCACGCAGGAATGGCGACAGTTACGCAGGTAGAGAATCCATTTAACTGCCAGCTCGAAGTCGTGCCCCGGAGCGTATACTGCCACAGAAACGGGAGCATTCCACCTGATGCATAACTCCTCCACGTGATGCACGAACTCGTAGGTACCTTGAGTGGTTAGTGTGATGGTGCCGTTACCACTGTGATCCTCGTCGGCAACGATGTAATCTCGAATGATAGTGTACTTTTCGCGTAGTTTGGTCTGCCACGTGGATTCGGGTGCCACCGTAGTAGTAGGAGGACGAGTGACGTTGCCGTTGACGATCACGATGCAAGGAGTGTTGTTCCAACTAGAGATCCGGAATGTCAGAATGTTATAGAAGGCCAAACCCACGTTGAATATGAGGAAAGCCGCAGCAAACAACTTTGAGTCTGTACGGCAAGGGAAGAATGCCATGATCCCCTCTTGAAACTGAGCCTATGGATCATTTCCTGCAACAGAAAAAAGTTCGTGCGACATCAATTATCGGTAGCAAAGCAACGTTCAGTAAATAAATAATTAAATTAATTATAAAGGTGTAAATATTCGATTTCATTTATAGTTGCGAGTTTCGTGAGCCAAGAATGAAATTCGTGACTCACGAAACCATTGTCCATTTTTATATTTAGTTTACCTACCAGTGATTATTGAGTTGCAAACTGTAAAAACGTCTATCACATTTCTTATTAAAAACATCACTAGGAAATTTACTTTAGTTCTTACTTTAGTTCTACTTTATTTGAACCAAATTTAATTAGTTAATTGTACAAAATTAAATAATAAGATTGCGGATGTAGCTCGAGCTCCAAGGAATGCAATAATGTAGAAATTTGTCATCTTGTCAAACATACAGTATCACGGCAATAGGCCTAAACTACTTCTATTCTAACTGCAATTAGTCGTTTCCTATTCTGATAAGATTAGAAGAAATTGGAACAAGAACATTTTAAACGCTACATTAATCTTTAAAAATGTTCATTCTTAAAAAATAACTTCAACATTCTTATATCGATTGAAATGTTCTTCGCGATAACACGTGCTTCGAGCACGAAATTTTGTTTATTTTCTTGCAAGATAAAACAATTCCTACTGAGATAAGGCGCCGAAATGTCTGTACTTTTCGGTATAATTTAGATAAAATTTATTCGTAATTTATTTTCTCTAAATCTTCGCACGAACCCCTAATTCCCAATAAAATCCATTGTTAACCCCTTATGTCCATACATTCCTTATAATTCCTAATAGTCTCGGAAAAACTTTTCTTAAATTTAAAAATTAGGGAAACCATTTTAAGTTCAAACATTACTAATTATTTTTTACATAATAATAGTGTCATTGAATAAGCCAGCATCTTAAAATTTAAACATGTAAACGGAGGTTAAACTAACATCGTAACTCTTCTATAAAAGACCTTTATGATTTTTACGGTACATTTCTTATCGCTAAAAATCCATCAAAAATGTAGTAATTTATTAAACCTACACCTTTTGATGTATGACAACCTCCTCTCGCGTGAGTACTTCGTGCCATTCACTTAACAACAACTTCTAGCAAAACGGTACTTTTTCTTAAGTAATGTTTTGTGGTCTCTAAGGAGTAGTGTTCTGTATTGTTTAAGAAATTCAAAACAGATGATACGTCGTGCGCTTTCGTGTACGTTTACTTAATGTTTAGAACAATTGTTTCACTCTCTTCAACGTGTGAATCGAACTCTTTTGCCATACTTAATACGTAATTACAACGTTGATCTTAAACATTACACTGTAGTAACTTCGAGAAACACATTTTTTGGTAGAGAATTGGTTACGTACTCATAAAACGTCAGTAGTTAAACAGGTTACCATTATCAGCGTGTTACATGTTCTAGAATTAAAATTCTAGAATAGAAATTTACACTATAAAGAGCAATTTCGGCCAACACTCACTATTGATCGGTTACGGTAGAATGGTACAAAATTATAATGGATTCTCCCTTCGTGTATACGCGTAACGTAACATCTCCCTCATCCTGACGGGGGTGGTCAGTCAGATACAAATACATACACATAATTTTGCGTTACGGCAGCCATTTACAAATTTCTCACCTGCCTCGGATAGGTACAATGGCGAAGAGGGGGTTTCGCGTAAGGTAGAATCTAAGTACTTTGTAAAATCCCCTCATTTGTACGGTTAACGTGGTTTTAAACATAGATAAGTAGAACCGATAGGACAGAAGAAGAAGAGAGGGTGGATGATAAATGATGTCAAAAGAAACTCACCACATTCGATGACTCGGAATGCTAAATAAATGCAGCGATCCTCCAGAACGACTCCCACACAATCCAGACACTCTTCCTTCCGAAAATCGATAAGTGTCGAGTGCGCGTGTACGGTTCCCGTGGTTTATTGTCATGGCAACATGTGCACTATAAACATGAGAAATCTAACAGGATCGATAGTTGACGTCACACCTGTTGAAATCGTTTCTGTTTCTTGCGACGTTAGAAATGTCGTTAAATAGTGTGACGCTGTTTGTGTAAAACTGCGTGCATTTAGTTATACAAGATGACAAGAAATTTTTTTAAATGCTGACGTGTTTTACAACTTTATACGATATTTAAGCCCCTTCCTACATTCTTTTAATCAAAAATTAGGTCAATTTTATGTTTACAAAATAATAAACTTATTAAAAGAGTTTAAATTATACTTTATAATTACATACGACAAATGATTAGACTCAAAATTTTTAAATTTTAAATCTAAGCCAACCGTGTCTAAACACTAATCGGTTAAAACGAATTTAACCAATCAGATAAAAGGATTTTGAAATAATAAAAATTCAAAAAAGAAGAAGGCGCCATTTTATGACATTTAAAGAAGGCGCCATTTTATGACTTTACAAAGAGTCGATAATTAATAAAATGATCGATTTTTAATCCTCCAGATCGATCATACGGGACGAACTTATGAATGATTTACCACGCAATTGATTGAGGCATTGATTTATCACACAAAAGTAACATTTTCGCTACTATAAATGATTAGAAGATTTGCAATTTTTTTTTCATTGAAAACTGGCCTAAAATTGATTCAAAAATCAAAATTTTAATTTCACAGTTTTAAGAGCAATGAAGTAAATTATATGAAATTTCCTGGGGATCTTTAACGAATTTGATGAATTCTCAAAAAATATAACGAATTTGTAATATCATCGGGATAATGACACATTAAGAGTCACTCCAAATTCCTTTTATAATGCTAAATTAAGTCACGAATCAGTTCCTATTCGGGGATAAATCATTGGCGGGGCTAAAAGGCAAAATGAAAAAATTGTGACCGACATTTTCGGCCAGAACTAGGCCTATTAAGCTACAGCTTACGTTTAAAAATAAGTAACAGTAGCCTAAGTTTACGCGATGTGGGAGAAAGCGTGTTATATATTAATACACCACACACGGACGTAAATCATTCTAAGCAGGTATATATTTAACGCTGCAACATCTTATCGTTGCTGCGAAAATGTTTAATAAACACATAGAAACGCTTTCGACCTGTTCTACTGTACCTGACTAAACCGAGGGAGTTTAGCCATCTCGTAGTCCCGTAACTAGAGTAGTCACCCCGAATTCGACACTCGTTTAATACTGCGGGGAGGTTATAGGAGTTTAAGAGTAAGCGAAGCGCTCCCGCGATCATTAAAATATCCCATTTTTTATGTTATTTTAATTAATGTAAATAACGATCGATTTCGTATCCCGTTAGTATACAATAATTGGCAGACAATCGAATCGGTGCCAAGTAAAACTAGTTAAGTAAATTTATCATCACTAAGTGATGCGTGGTGGCGAAGTAACTACGCTTTGCGATTGACCAACATTTAGGTGTAACGTCACTCCAAGTTTATGCCCACAATCAATCCAATACTGTAAGGTTTGAATTTGAAATTTTTTAATTATTTTCAGCATCAATACGAAAAACCAGGAACCAAGTACAGTGCATGTACCAATTTTGAATCCGGAGCAAAAACGACGGCGTAGGGCCCAAAGGATAAATACGGTAAAGAAAAATGAATAATTCTAACCGAAAATATGATAAAGCGTTGTATAAAAATGTGTTGTATTTTTAAAATTTCCCGAATCTTTAAGTAAACTATATCTATAAAACTTACCTTAAAATTTCTGAAGTGGAAGACGATTCTTCTTGTACGGTTTCATTCGTAAACTATGACCTTCCTATTAATTCATTTTCCCCGGTTGGCTATTTATACACACGAGTGAATGAGATTTACTCAATAATTTAGAAATAGGTAGATATTTTCTGTTTACCCATTATATTATTATTATTATTACTACTTTTTGAAAAACCGTCAATAAATTCTTCCTCTTCCTGTACTCTTATTGTTACCCGCAACCTTTCTGCAAGTTATTGCCATATTGTTCCGTTTGTGACATACAAACCGTTGTACTTGTACGCCTTGTTTCTCATTTTCCATGCCTCGGCATTTACTAGAGTAGTCTTTTCGAATCCTGCTTCAGAGATTTCGTATTTATCTATCGGCAATAAACTTTTATTTACTTCGAACGTACTTTTGATACGAAATATAATATTTGAATATTTAGATACAATGCGTGATCGGTTACCGAACATTGTCCTAGCAACGCTGTATTCGATGAATATTTCTTATATAAAGAGCAAATAAGAGATGAATAAAATATATCACTCGCGAAAGGAGTCGGCATATTTGATCTTTTTTCGCTATATATTATTTACAATTTCTAGTTTAGAATGCGTGTTATGTATTTTTATCGAATCGTATAACAAAGCATTTATTAAAATGTAAAATAACGCAACGCGCGGTAATTAAATAAAATATTATAATAGCCGGACTATGTATGGCGTATCGAATGCCGAATCGCTCAAAAGCGGCCATTCCCTTACGTAGAAATTAAACATTTCACATACCTCTGAACGTCCATAAATTAATAATAAACAACGCTTTTTGCCCACGACTATAAATTAGACAACCTAAGAAATAGGGTATAACAATTTTTATTATTAATAGTGTATCCGTCTACCAGAATTTAGAAAATGTAGGAGAGACTAAGACATTTACTTGATATTTTAGTTTATGGGTCACATTGAGAAATTGTAAATGCAGCGCGCTGCGTATGTTGGTTATCCCGTTGTGTTGGCTGGTTATTGGTGTTGTATCAATATTTGTTACGTTGTTACCGTGTGTTTGTAAGCCGACGAGGGATACTTACCTAAATTTGAAACTTAATTATTAAAGACCAACTTTTTTTTTTATACAGTAAAAGTTCTGGTCCTTCTTTCTGTCGACCTCGGTGCGATAAGCCCCGCAAATTGTTATACCCTATTTATTAGGTTATCTAATTAAAACATTTGATAGCCATTAAATATACTTCGTCAGAGAATCTTCGGGGGTGCGCGCATCTCACATTAGGTAGCGATGATCTAAAACAGTCGCGGCCCGCATGGCCTTGCCAACTTAATTTTATTTTCTCGTTTTGCCCATCGTACCGTTATGCCACCCTAATTAAGCCGACGTTCGTGACAAAAACCGCTCAGACTAAATTTTATGTTGTAATTACTTCTTACATACCGTACATTTATTATCAAAGGGCTCGTAACATTACGAATTTCTTTACTAGAGGCGACGTAAACTTTGTCTTCTCAGAAAATTAAATTTAAATTATTTGCCGTGCAATGAAATCTCAAACCGTTTTATAAAAGTTAATAATATATTAAGGACAAAAGTAAATGCTACACTTCTTAAAATTTCAATAATCGCGTGCGGGGTAGTGTTCAAATAGCGGCAAATTCTTCAATCTCCACGTTTGAACATAAATTGAAGATACTTAAGTTACGTATAATTTCATTACCGAGCAAATACTTTTGTAATTAAAATAGAAAATAAATTAAAAGAAACTTCTCCAGTGTTGTATTCTTGTACAGATCAATTATGACTTAACGTGCGATAATATATTTCGCTTATAAATTTCCATTTTAAAAGAAATTTAACACGAACGGATTCGCAATTTTTGGATAGTCGAGAAATTAAATACCAGATTCATACGCGTGACGTCGTAGTTTATGCGCGTCACGACCTCACCGGCAGTTTTTGGTATAAAAAATATTTTATATGATTTTATAGCTATCTACTCTTTATAAGTCTATATAATACTTAGCATTAAATTGTCGGAATACTTTTTCCGTCACAAACAAAAACAATAGAAATGGCGGCTCGAAAATCAATAAATCGTTACTCAAGTTTGTTAGGAATAGTCGCGGACTTGGCTTCCTTATTCCTAATACGCCGCCTGTGGCAGTCGGGAAAAAATAGAACGGTGGCACAGGGAATCGATGAATCGTTACGAAACTTTTGAACGAGTAAGCCGAGCCCATCGGTTGTCCGATAGGCTTGGCTTACTTGTTCGGCCATCTGTTGTTCGATGGGTTAAGGTGGCATCCATCGCACCGAGGAACCCGGAATCGTATCCGCATCGGATGAAATATCCCAAGAATTTTTCGGAAGTTGTCCCTCCGGATATGTCGGGACCGTCTCTCACCACCGGGCCACCGCGTTGAGAACCTAACCGAACCGTAATGGATTGGCTTTAAAGAAAGGACCTCTTAGTGCCCACGGGACGGTAACGATTGAAAAAGCAAAAATAAACTAATTATCAATGTCTGATAAAGTTTCCATCAAACATCGTATCTCTAAAGTTGTTATAATTAACGTTTTGTTATATTTAAACCAGTTTAATTACGGCGAGAACATATTATAATTTACATACATCATCTATACAAAGTAGTATTAGATAACACTGTTTTACAATTCACGTGTCTTTCTGCATTCCAACTTTGACGATATTTTCCGGCACGATGACGGAAAATATCGTCGCCTCCGAATCAGGAATCGCGGAAGTCACTCCCCGCCAAGTAAAAAAAAAACGTCACCGACTGACTATTTATACAGGAATCAGAGTTGCCGATTTTCGAGGGTCGATTTCTCCGCCCCCAAACATCTATAGTAATCCAGTATATCTCGTTCGAAAGAAAATTTTCTTCTTAGGTAGTGCGTAAAGTTTCAAGATTTTCTGTAATACTTGGTTTGTTTGTTTAGTTATGGCTACGCAATATTTGGGCGATTAGCCAAGGGGATGCCCTTCTGGAGAACTTTTTAGGGGAAACGACCTCATTTGGGCGTTACGGACGTGGAGAAAACGCGGAAAACGCCACGTGGCCAGCCCGTCCGGGCGAGGCGCGAACCCACGACCGAACTCCCAGTGTTTGGGGGACGAAGACCGCTCGGCCACCGGTGGGCATGTTTTCTGTAATGCCAGTGCCGAAATATAAACAAACGAAAAGTGAAAAAATTCACAAAAAAAGCTCAAATTTAAACTTAAGCCTTTCTGGTTATCGGTGTGTTGCCGGCAAAACTTCCGGGTCGATAGGTCAAAGTTCACGAGGGTTTCCCCGTAGAGCTAATTAAGTTTTACGGCTTAATTTCGTGCTTACACTTTAAATTACGTAAAAGATAGTATAATTGTAACATTTAAAAAAAATTTCTTTCGATTATACTCAGAATCAGCATAAACTTTTTGTATAGTCCGCAACTGAAGAGGGTTCAGACCCAAAATGCACCTTGAAGAATGACTATCGCATAGATTTGATTTTTCCATCTAAATGACGCGCGTTCCTGTATGATAATTCCTTGAATTATCTTGTACTATATGATTTAGAAACCCGATATTTATTAATATGACCGGAATCTTATCGGCCTATTATATGGTCCAATAAGTCCAATACCTTATACAATTGTCACTTCTAGTACTTATTTTAATAAACAACTATTAATTATTTTAGATAGTGAAATACATCAAACAATACAATTGAAATCTTATTAGCCATTTCACCGCCAAATAAATTATTCAGATACTAATTGATTTGGACAAGAGACTAAGCGGTTAGGCCGCCATCTCGTGTTAAATTCAGTCATTAGAAATAAATGTAATATAGAATATAATAAATCTGAAAGAAAAGATGGTCTTGGAACGAGACACAACCCGTAACTTCCGCTCACCGCGCAGACGCACTACCCGGATCTCAGTCCGACCAATTAATTTAGAAGACATAATATTTCAAGAGTTTTCTAAATTTATTTATTTTTAATACCTAAATTTAACACGAGATGGCGGCTTAATCGTCTACATTTAGACCAAATTAATCAGTATCTTAATTAATTAATTAGCCATATTATAACCCAAAAGGATTCCGGTTGTATCGTTTGATATATTTCACTGTCGAAAATAATAAATATTCCTGTATAAAAATCAGCGATAATTGTGTAAAATGGTGATTTAATTCCAGTTTAATTAAATGCAAATACCTACGACTCTGAAAGAGACGATTGCGATGACGTAAATTTTTTAAATGACAAGTAATGATTAAATCGTGTCGAATAATATAGTAAAATAATTTCACGTTCACGGTTAATCATCGCTACGGCGTGTAAAATAAATGAATTTCTGGAATGTCCTCGAGAAAGAAGTTGTATATCAAACAAACAATAATGCGCGACACTTAATATCTGGTGTAAAATTACTTTTAACAAATACGTACGCATTTATCTTCAGTTTTTATCTACAATTTTCACCCCATAACATCTAGAAACGTACAGTACAATCGCATAAAATTGTTCTATATTCGTTTTACGAGTATGGAAGAGGTTCTTCATCCCTCAAAACTTTTTAAATTACTTTTATTTTTATTATTTACTTTTTAAGAAAATAAAACTCTGTGTCGATCGCATCTCAAAACGAATTTCCGTTCCGCTTCATTTTCCTGGTCACGATTTTTAAACTCGTTAAGCATCGTACACGCGTGGATTGTCGTGGCGTATAATTATAGTTTCGAGTAATGAAATTGACTTTTTTTTTGTATTTGTAAACAATAGTAAACGAGAGACGTCACTAAAAGTTACGGTTTACAAATGGCCTAAATCCTTTCTTCTTTTATTCAAAGGTAACGACGTCAAATTCCGATTAACTCTTTAACGCGAGAATCACTCGATTACGTTATTTTGTGTGACGAAATAATACTATTATACGCGTCGTAGAGTGTGTCGTATTACGTATTCCCATACGCGTCGCGCTCCAAACTAACATGGCGCGAATGTTTCAACGTTGTGTCGAGAGACTTTAATATTAAGCGAATTGTTGTGGATTAAAAATTTTAATTTCATTTTAAAAAGCCACATTTATAGTTAGAAAAGTAAAAATTATTATTAAACAGGAGGGTATCGATATTTTTTATTTTAGCTAATAAATGCTGTTATGTAGGGTAGTAGTATCCAACTGCACCGCGTAAACGTATCTATTACGATTGTAAGTAACGACAAATCCCTGTGTGCGGCTTCGACAAAGAGCCTTTAATACGAATACGTATGTACTGTAAGTGGTGGGAATGAGAAAGAACTCGGGAGAATCTCCGCAACGAATGTCATTATAATTCTTTAAACGTAAGAATTAAAAAGGATACCAGACTACCGGGTGTTCTCGAATTCAAATTGTTCGCTCGAACCGGAAGTTTATTTCATACAGTTAAATCTGGGACGGTACTTCCGGGTCAGGTCGCGACGTAATAGCCGATACAACTTCGTATTGTTGACGGCGTAAGGAGCTCTGCGACGTTCCGACGCACGGTCTATGCGCTTTATCCCCGGAGAGTGGACCAAAAAGGCATTATCTAAGATGCAGAAGTCGTAGTCCATGAAACACATCTCCAGAACCTACGAGTCCAAAGTAAGGATTCAAAGAGGGATAAAGGAGGAGGACCTCTTAAATAACTTACCTGAGGAAACTTGTTCATCTTCCCTTCCCACGTGAAATTCTCGTGAAAAGGCGGCTCGTTGTTGGTTCCTATGTAAAACGGTTCCCACGGTGGCGCGTGCTTAACAGTAGAAAAGATAGTCATAGAATCTTCGGGAGGAGCAGTCTTCAGCCAGCGATCTCTATCAGGAAATTTATGACACGCATCACACACCAGTTTGTGAAAGAAAACAGCCTTCTTGCTGGACATCATCTCTAATAATTCCTTCTTCGTATCGGGAACTTTACTGTTCTCCTCCACCTCGAAGACTGGTAAAACGTAGACACGTAGCGAAGAGACATTATGTTCAAGGACCATATCCAGAAACCGCGGAACCAAGTCCAGAGACGGGTACAATTCGATGTCCGAGGCCAAAACGTAGTGGGTCCGAGCCATCTTTCGGGCTACGTTACGAGCCAAGTTGATGGGGTAAGACAATTTGTGCGTTTCTCGAAAATTGATAAAGTTAAAGGTGTCGTTTTGGCAATTCACCGGCATCTCTCGCGCTTTTAGCGTATCCTCTCGGGTAGGCGCGTGCGCCTTATCGACGATAAGGTGCCAAGTGACGTTGGCCTTCAAGCAGGGGTGTCGACACCGACGTAGATATAGAATTCTCCGTACCGCCGGATAGAAATCCCGACCGGGTGCGTAAACGGCTATCGAAGCGGGCGCCTTCCAACGGAGGCACAACTGCTCGACGTGGTGCAGAAATTCGTAGGTGCCTTGCGTCGTCAAGGTTACGCTAGAATTTCCCAGGTAAAATTTATCTGCCGCTATGTAATCGTACACAACTAAGTAATTGGCGTGTTCTCGCGTGTGTAAAGGTTCCGCCAATTTGTTTACGGGACTTTGGGAGGAATCCCACTTCCAAATTAGAGATATATACACGGAATTATCCAAGTTCCCGTAATCTACACTACGTTCGACCAGGTAGTAGTAGAGGATCGTACCAAAAATGGAAGAAAAACAAAGAAAATAAATGCTTTTACGAACACACCCGATTCCAGATTTTAGTCGGCAGCACCTACGAACGAAAGAAAAAGACTTAATTGTGGAAGTCTCCCCGCCAACTAGGCCATCCGACACGGCGAAGGATACAGACCCATAAACAGGAATTGATGATCACTTACCGATTATCTCCGCGAAACATCATAATTTGATCTTCAAACCGAACGTGCGGAGGGCAAAACAGTGGCAATTTAACACGACGCCATCGTATTAACATCCAATACCGGCGTCATCGCTCGACGATCCAAGATGGCGGTCTCTTTCGTCTTTGATCGCTACGCGGGAACATTCGTTCGTAGATGGAATAAGGTGTCAAATTATCCTCTATACTTCAGCCTCTACAAATTATTCACCCGCTACGCGTCGTAAAAAAAAGGGACACTTATTACACGCAACCGTTTAATTTAACATCCCATAATTATTCTGTCATTTAAATATCAGTTTAGGTTACTTATTTAGGATTTGGAACGGATATTTATATCATCGAACGACAATGAAATTTGACCTTTTCACGGGATTAAAAAAAGGATTTTGTCGCGTTATTTTATTAGTTACGTAAACTTCACACCGGGTGTTTTTCCAAGATTTACGCGTTACGGTAGTTACGTGTATTAAGTTAGGCGAAGTAGCGAATTACGTCACGTTTCTCCTCTGATAATTTCGTAGGTCCTATCTCGGGGTCTTAAAATTTTGGGGCCGGTTAAGACGACCTCCCCGTAAAAACTGCTATCCAATCCGACGCGACCACCAAATTCGATTGCCGGACCCTTTCTCGGAGTTATGGAAATTTCGCTATCTTCGGTACCTCTTTTTTACGTACGGGAACGTTTGCGTGACGTAACGACGGTCGTTCTGATTACCGTAGTACGATATCGGAATATAGATTCGATAACGGAAGAGGGATTACAAATGTTTTTACGTATCCTCCGCATCGCGTCCTCGTTCCGCCGAGCGACGCATTCGAGCGTGTCGCCTCGCACAAATTTATTAATTCGTAAGAGTCGAGTTATCTAGACGAGTAACGAGAAAATAGAATAAATGCGTAATTACGACGAAGGTAACGCCATCCGATACGCGTTACTACGAAGCGGGTCACCACTTCGTTAAATACTACGAAAGTAAATTCTGCGGGAAATTTAACTCGAGAACATTCCGAACGCGTCTAAAATGTTTAACCTTTCCCCTTTGCGAGTACGAAGTATCGCGCCTACACTCGGGTACAAATGTTACTTAGTTACGTTAAACTAAAAATGCACCTCGACCGCCATTAGAGACTGTGTCCGGCGAATTACCGACGTCACCTCCCATCTGGACGTCGGGGATGGCGTATTAATTACTGAAGCGTAACGCGTTGGTACGAATTACTAAATACGGTAACGTCTACTAACCTGGGCCACGCGTTTGATCTTCTAAAGAATCGAAATTTGGCCAAATTCGAGAGAAAGAACGTATTACTCGTTGACAAAATGGACTTTCTTCCTCGTCACGATTTTCCGATCTTACATCCTTGCGGACTCGATGACTCTATTAACTGCCGGGTGTACGAAAGGGCCGCGTTAATTCCGAAAATGACCAGCCGCCGTCACGTGACATCGGCTTTATTCCTTCATAAATACGAGTTAATTTACATATTTACAGCTTTGCGAAGAGCGTTAGCGGCATTTGCGTTTTTGGCCGTACCGCTTTATCAGATCCCGTCGAAGGCTGTTGTAGGCGCGTCTGTTGGCCGCCACGTATTTGGCACGACGACGTTCCGACGTACCGTTCACTTTCTTTATCCCCGGGGAGTGGACCAAATACGCGTTGTCTAGAACGTAGAAGTCGTAATCCAGGAAGCACATCGCCAGAACCTGCAAAGAGCACGAGCTTAAGTGCCACGAGATGGCGTTGCGAAGGGAGCGGAGCGACTCACCTGAGGCATTTTGTTCATCTTCCCTTCCCAAGTGAACCTCTCGTCGAAAATCGGCTCGTTGCGAGTTCCTATGTAGAAGGGCTCCCAGGGGTAGTAGCGCTTGGTGATGGAGAACACGTTGAGGGTGTCGTTGGGCGGGAAGATCTTCAGCCACAGATTTCTGTTGGGGAACCGATGACACGGGTCGCATACCGACCTGTGAAAGAACACCGCCTTCTTTTTGTAGAATAACTGGAGTAACTGCTTCTTGGTACCCGGAACTTGGCAGTTTTTCTCCACCTCGAAAACCGGGAGGACGTAGACCCGTGGAAAAGCGGCGCCTTCTTCTTTGCTCACCATGTCCAGAAATTTCGGCACGATGTCGAGGCTCGGATACAATTCTATGTCGGATGCCAACACGTAGTGGGTCCTGGCCGCCTTTCTGGCCACGTTACGCGCCACGTTGATGGGATAGGTCAATCCGTGTTCCTGGCGATAACTGGAAGTGGAGTTTGGCACCCTCTGGCAGTCGGAGGAGCCCTCTCGAGCCTCCAGCAGCGTATCTTCCGCCAACGCGTGAAGCTTGTCGAAAATAACGTGCCAAGTCACGTTAATTTTTAGGCAGGGGTGGCGACAGTGACGTAGGTAAAGCATCCTCTCCACCGCGGGAACGAAGTCTCCGCCGGGTGCGTAAACGGCGACGGAAACGGGTGCCCTCCATCTGATACACAACTCCTCCACGTGATGCAGAAATTCGTAGGTTCCCTGAGTCGTTAGCGTAACGCTGGAGTTACCGGAGTAGGTTCTGGAAGCCTTCAAGTAATCGCGCACCGCCACGAATTTCGAATCCACTCTCCGATCTAAAAGTTTCTCGCGTAGATGCCCCGCTCGATCCCATTGTTCTTCTACGTATCCTTGCGTTAGATGCTGAGGGAGAGCTTCCGAGACTTCGTCACGCGGAGTAACGGAGTTACGCACGGAAGATACGAAGCACAACACCACGACGAAGAGGAGCGTCGGAAGGAGGAGGCATTTGACTATTCTCGCGCACCTGAAATGGCTCACCATTCTACACGCGTCGGAATGTTCCTAGAATAGTGGACTCTCGGAAACGGATCCCGGTTATTCTCAGGTGTGCTCGACACCTACAAATCACGGCGCACGCGTAGAAGCCGAAGGTAGGCGAGCAAAGTCCCTATCGCCGAGCGCTACGATCCAATTTCCAGTCGAGGTTCGCCAAGTCACGTCATTGACACTCTACTCCGTTTAATTACGTCATTTTTATTGGTATCGCAGAATCACTTAAAAAACGAATTTCACGCACGAATGACTGGCGAAAACGTAACAAATGCGAAGTTTAGTGTCGCGTCGCTCCTAGATGCTCGACGACGCGACGCGTTCTATTGGTTTTTTTTATAGGAGAGAGGACGCGACAGGCGCGCTCTTCTTCGTCACGCCGCGTAACTTTTACCTCTCTTCGCGATTCGCAGTAACTACTCGGAACGAATACCTTTCCTTTTCGAGACGACTCGTAAACACGGGAATTTCTCCAGTTGTAGATTTTTATCGCGCTTCCGAGTTACGACACGTGTCCACTTGTTTACTTAAAATACGCGATGTTTTCCCCTCGTTTGCGTAATGCGAGACGTGTCTATTGAATCTTTCGTAACGGAACTACTTTTAAACGCCGTCTAATACTTAGTAAACTAATTAATAATTCGCTAGATGTCTCCATTGTGTCGTCGCCGAGTGTATTCAAATTACGAACTCGCTAGTAATAGTCCAATATTGTCACGTTCTGGTGTTTTAATCCAAAAACATTCGTTTTCTCTATAGGAAACTTGTGTATTGCGGCACGTGCAAAGTGTTTACCTGTGTTCGTCTGTCAGTTCTAACTTGTCTAGTGTTTCCTGGATTATTCTAACAGATGCGGTTTATTTCGCCTAACAAATGTAGTGTTATGTCTCTTCTAATAAATCTAGTGTTTACTCCCGGTTAACTTCCATTTCTAATGTATCTAGAATTCTTTTTGGAATGACAAATATTTATCGTACTGTATTATATATTATTTTACAGTGTACTTATTATTCTGGTATAAGAAAAACTAAGTTGTGGGAAAGAAAAAAAAATGTCTACAGAAACAAGGAGTTGTAATGTTAAGGGGGATTTTAATATGTATTTCAAAACCTGGAATGTACTTTAAAATAAGACAAAAGAGTATTTTCCAGTGTTTTCTTTGCACAAATAATACTAGGAAGGAGAGAAACAAAACAAAAGTAACACACACTAACAGAATAGAAAAACAAGGAAGTGGTTTATATTCCAAACTAACCTCGTGTTAATCATTTATCTCGGAAATGACAGAGGTATGTAAATTACATAATTTACCTTGAAATTAATTTAGGTTTGTATATCACTACGTAAATTTGTTGGGAGTATTTAATTTAGTAAGCAAAAACCAGAGAGAACACGAAGGGCACTGTAGTCAATTGACACCAGAGTTAAAAAGACAAGAGGTATATGTTAAGCAGAGCTGTCTCTTTGTATTCATTTTTCAATAACTTACAATTAAACGTTGTTAGATTAAACCTGAAAGTGTCTTTACCGCATAACATTAACAAAATTAAACAGTATTGTGTAAGAAAGGATTAGGTAATGCTCTTTGGAGGAATCTGCATTTGAATTTGGATGGGACTTTGAATCAATAGTTTTTGGATATTTTGGATGAAGCTCTGCTTCCCAATTTTGTTTTTGTGTTGGCTAAACTGGTTGCGGATCTTATCTGTGGCAATTAAATACTTTGGAAATGCATCGTTCACAACAATATTCCATAATTTCATTAAGGTACCAAATATTCCATAATTTGGTATTTTTGAAGGGCATAATTGAAAATACTGTTACCAAATGGAGCGTGCAAAGACGATCCGTCAGAATTTGTGCTGTGAATGCAAATCGTGTAGAAGAGTATCAATGTCTCCGGTCGACAACAAGTAAAAGGTGACCAAATGTAATGTATATTTTTCATAAAAATGTACATGTCTGTGCAACATGTTTTGGCCTAAGTAATGTAATCATTTCGCAGTATCTTGCCAATTTTTTGATAGAATTCTCTACAGATTACACCAGAAAAGTAAAAGATTTTATAAAAATCTGTTCGGAGCATCTCTTTCCTTACTCAGACTGAATTGTCATGAGAAGAAAAGTGCATCCTCTGTGATAATCACAAATGATTTTCACATTGGCTGGATGTCGACAAAACCTCAAAAAATAAGGAAAAATTTTGATTTCGGATTGTGACTATAATTGGCATTTAACGGCATGCAACCGGAATAATTCACTGAGGCTTCTCGAAACCTGGCGAGATTGCAAACATAAATAGATATTGTTCTGAAATCGGATAACCATTCCAAATGTCATTAAGGAAGTCTTGGAAGCTAAAAATTCTAATTTTTATAAACAGAATACATAACCTTGTCTCCCACTCTATATACATCTAGTAATATATTCTATAATGCATCAAAATCTTTGGATCTGCTCTGTGCCAAGAGACTCAAAGTCCAGTTTGTTTGAAATAAAAATTAAATTTTTAAACTGAATGTTTTGTAATATACAGTAGAAATAAAGTGAGCTGTCATATATATAAATTTTTATACAAATAATAAGAAATTTGTTCAATATTTACTTTAATTAATCAACAGAAATTACTACATTCTAAATGTAGTAATTTCTGTTCTCTATGGCACTCATATTCTTGCAAAGAATTGGTAATTAAAAAAAATTGTACTTTTTGTATAAGTGTTGACTCGTAGATATGTTCTACATTAGGCTATTCCACAGTAGACTAGCATTTGTAAAGTGAAAAAATACGCAGGATTAATGAACCAATTGACAAACACGACTATGCTCATAAAGCGAGTGAAGCCACTTTCAAAAGTATTGCGTTTTTTACTTTCAAAAACGTGCATTTTCTTTATGTTAAACTGGTTTATCCACATTTTCAATATCGCTTTTGTGCAATTTCCAATTACTCGACTTCTGAAGAAATCGACAGAGTGTCTGTTCCGAGAAACACAAACTCAGACTAATTATGCGATTTATTCAGTTTTTATAAATGTCAAATGTTAGAAATGACCTAAATTATATTTATTTGTCCGTACCAATTGTCGAGAATTGTGTTTCTTGTAAAACAGAGTTAAAATTTGCAAATAATTAATTTTGGTATTTAAATGTATTTTTTAGTGTTAAAATAATGCACCGGTGAAGTGCGAAATGACTGACATAGATGATGAAATATGTGGTGTGTCCAATAAAAATTAAGCTACGGTAGATTTATGATTGCATGAGTTTCAATATTCTTTTTTTGTATAACTGTTGTGTAATAATAATAGTAAAATATGCTAAAAATCATCTTAAAGCTATCTTCACATTTTGAGATCGTTATTAAGATCCTTTTGTGAGATATTGTCTAAGATAGTCTTTTGTGAGTGAAATATTGACAAAGATAGTCTTATCTGAGCTTGACGTCGACTAACACGATCTTACACGAAAGCTTTGTAAGAAATTTTAAATATTATTGCATTTGTAATGTCTTAATTCACTCGGCATTTGAGAATTTCTCCAAAAAATTTAAATCAAACATGGCTTTAATAAAGCTTCATTTTTACATTTTTTTATATTAAATCTACGAGTTTCCCCGGAAACTGGTAGATCATATAAAGTGTTATATTATTAATTTTGCTGAAAAAATAATTTGATGTAGAATCTGTAAAATCGAGAAACGAGATTTAAATTTCCATTAAAACTAAAAATAGTTTTTCCTCGTCTAAACAAATTCTGGAAAATAAATCCGTTGGGTAAAAAATTTCCGTTTGCAAACGGAGGATCGATAAACTAAAACATATGATATATTTACAGTATCGGAGTCGACGAGACCGGGGAGGATCTCCTCGGCACGATGTTCCTAAGACGAAGATGTTCGACGGTTTTTTGAAAGCGTCGTCCGCGATTAAAAAAGTCACATCAGGAGGATCTTCTCCTTATAGAAAACTTCCCTTTCTGTAACTGGGAGATGTATATGCGGACCTTGCAGCTGTCGTTTGTCTTCTTAATCCATACCTGGAACGAAGGGTACAATTAGTAAAACATTCATAAATTCCAAGCTGATCTTTATCGACAGAGTTAGCATACAATAAATAAATATATGGGGTAATGTAAAAGCCTCCGTATAGAGGCAAAGAGATTAACTTTGCTATGGAGTCATATATAAATCACAGAACACGTAACCATTTAACTGCCACAAGTGAGAACAAAGCATTCAAATACATTACAAGTCTAATATTACACATATGCACAAGTCACAAATGTTTGTTTTTGGCATTCCATGTTTCATATGGAGACTTTCAAATTATCCCATATACGTAAATGATAAGTTTCACTTTTATGTTCGATACAACATTATCGAATCTACCCAAAATAGTATCTTTAAAATCTAGAAAAGTGTTTAGTAATGGAGATTTAACAGAAAAAATGAATATAACCTTAGCTTTCAAGCAACCTTATCTCTTTGATTTTACACTAAAAGTTTTCAGCCTAAGAGAACATAGCTTTACATTTTATAACTTTTCCTGTTAAAAAAATTATATATTGACATTTCTTTTAAACGAAAAGACTTTGTTGCGTTGTTTAATTCAAATCAAAGATTTTCAAAACTGCTAATACTGTATAAGGATAGCTTAAACACAAAGGTAACACAGTATAAAGATTATTTACCGTCAACCTTGGTTGCATATTTAACTTTATTTATCCTCAGAATTTTCACAAAATTAGTTGCACCAAAACATTTAATAATATTGCTTGTAACTGTTGACTATATTAAACCATGCACTCCAGACTTTTTGTCACAAAAAAGCGAATAGACCATTTGTATTTATTTGGTTTGAAATAATGTCATTAAAATATCAATATGCTTTTGTAACACTTTAAGAAATATATCTGTGTGTATTGTAATTGAATTATTTACCGACAGCGATAGAAACGTGACATAGATGATGTGATGTCCTCCATTCGGAAAGATGCACACAATGAACAGTTCTCAATCCGTATCTAGCACTCTAATCGTTATTCAAAGTCAAGTTCCTAAATTATTCTTCTCTGGATCAAAGTTTCTCCTCTGCACCATCATTGTCTTTTAATACTAATTTTAATCGGCACACATCTATCCCCTCGGTGTATCAACCATCACGATCACTATATTGGTGCCTATATAATTCTACCATGCTCTATCCAAATGTATAAGAGTGAATAGAGTTTAATACTAAAAGAATCATTCATGCTACAGAGAAAAATATATTTTCTGAAATGTGTTTACTGTAGAAATAACATCTTATGCAGCCAAGACTTGACTTCTTTTGCAAATTATCATATCCTTTGACACAACATAAACACAAATAAAGAAATTTTTTCATATTTTATTCATTTTCAAAGGTTACACATTACTGAAAGCCAAACATTTGATCTCTTGGATGTCTTTGATGAATCAGAAGTATTGGCTCTCGTTTAGGGAACAGATGAAAGTTCAGTGGTGCCAAATTGGAATTAGAGGCAGAATGGAAAAGAATTTCTACTACCGAGAAATTTTCAATGTGAAGAGTGGCTTGGGGCCAAGAGTTATGGATCGAACAATAGTATCCTCTTTGTTGATGAGCTAGACCACCAGTTGAATTGCCCCCTTAGGTTATGTAGGACTATGTGTTGGCATCACAATATCATGATGTAAGCTTGTATGCATTTGCTACCGAGTCACTAGTAATTTCTTTGGCATTACAATGTATTTATAAAATGACATCGAGATAACTTCATCAAACTTCTGTTATCAAAGCTCGTTTATAGAATTTGCATTAAAATTTTTCAAAAAAATTACACTGGCATGTAGGCACAAGGCCTTAAGTTTTATCAGAACCACATGATAATCAAGCACATTAATTGTTATGATGCATGGAAAATCCACCAAAAGCAAACCATGCGGGTCCCAAAACATTTGTCATTACTTTTCTACACTGTATTTTTATGGTTTTTGCAACAGAGAAACCAGAAGAAGAGGTAAGATATAACACATTTAATACGGATTATAACAAATTTTGTTTATGATACCATCTTACTAAGAAGTTAGTTATTATACAACCAATTAATGCTCAGTTCTAATCAAATTTTAACCTATGTTCTATGTAAAAATTAAACAAACAAACTACAAGTTAAAGTTACCAAAAGTATTAATTTAAAGTTGAAAACATTTCCAATTAAAGTCATCTTCGGCTCTGTTAGCTGAATTAGCAGAAAAATACAGAACAAACAATGGAATTCTGTTTAATCTGTTAGCTGTTTTCTCAGCTAACACAGTAGAAGAAGACCTAGATTAAAGTAAAAAATATTTCTAATTAAATATTTTCGATAACTCCAACTTTAGAAGTTTGTTTGTTTCATCATTATCATCACATATAATAGTACCAAGTTTCATAAACTTTCATAAAAAATTTAAACAATTTATATTTCTTCATATTTTCAACATTATTTCCTTTAACTTAAAAAATTTTCAAATTATGTTAATTATTATTACCATATATTATTGCTATTGTATGTATGGAACATTTTTTAAAGTATTAACATGTCATTTCGTTTAGCATTGATTATTCCGACCCGTTACTCAAGAAAAGGCTTTTGTCAAAACTTGTTTATTATTTCTGTTCTTAGTACCGTCGAGTGCATTTTTCAAAGTACTTTGTTTTATTATAGTGAGTGGTAGGAACTTTGTAAATGAGAAAAGTAGCCAAATATTCTGATAATGTATTTAACTTCTGCAAACTGAGTGAAACAAGCTATGCTGTATCACAAGAGAAATTAAATTAGGCAAATTTAGTTCTCTTATTATAAATTTGTAAAATTTTTACTATTTATTTTGTATGCCACACCCATTATAAGTTAAAAATTTTATAAATTATAGGTACTACTAACTGCATTTTTAGTGCGATTAAATTGCCTCTTTTGTTATCCATTAATTAATGATGGCGTAGCACTTCTTCATTCATTTGATTCCTTTTTTTCCCTAACATTAGATGCCTTACACTTTACTTTGAAATGTCATCAACTCTATTGACAATTTCCATTTACATGACCCTCAAAATATTTCCTTCCAATTCTCCTTTCTCTAAATATAAACTTATTTATAATTTGAAAATAAAATAAGAAGTGTTTACTAAATAAATGATAAAGTGACACTTGTTTTCCAGCACACATTGCCACATTTAATCAAAATTTCATAGAAAATGGAGCCAAAATTATCAGAAAAAATATAAACAGCTCAAAATAAATTCTTTGAAAAAAGGAAATTTTCAAATCTAAAATAGAAAATAAAATTGCTCAATTTTCAAGAAATGTTTAGCCACTTCTCTGTTAATTGTTGCACAAAATAATCGTTACAAACATCTGATCTGATTTTCTGATGACGTGACAATGGCATGCCATCAGAAAATCCCAAATTAATAACTACTAATAAAATCACTTTACTAACAAAGTGATTTTTTTACTTACTTTACTTGTATATTTTTACACTTTATCATGTTGTGTGTAAAAATATATAAACACGTAATTTGTTTTTAGAATGCAGAATTGTGGGAAAGAACGCTGATCTAGAATGATTCGTTTTGTCATAAATATATATAGGGTATGGACAAAAGTAGTATAAAGCTACTACTAAATGAGCAATTCCGATAACATTTGTATTAAAATAAAAACTAATTTTGTAAATAATTAGCAAGTTCCACAAGAAAATTATTATAGATGGGATCAGCATCATTTCTTTGTAACAATTATCCAACTTACGTCACAAATGCATTTTGAAATGGAAACCGACACTGTAACGGCACATTCTCTGCAAGCCATCATAAAAATCTGTTGTGTTTTTCTATAAAACCATCCTTTCCTGTACAAAGTATTACTAGAATCAATCTCAATCTTACATTAGACAAAATATCAGGATTCAGAGTCATTCTGTATGATGCACAGTTTTACAAAAACAAAAAATGCAAAACAAGAATGAAATTGCTAAATAATAAATAGTCTATTAATGCTATTAATTTAAAAGAAAATTAAATGTATATATTAAATACTATTTTGCAACTGCTTTAAATTGTTTTATAGTTTTCAAAATCCAATAAAATTCCTTAATGTGAATATACAGATTTTATTTTTTAGAAAAGACTAGCAGAAACTTTGTCAAATTGATAAATATTTTTGAAATAAATGATTAATTTATTTCTCACTATAAACTTTGACATTTTAGAAGAAAATCTCAAAATTTCAAAATGTATTATTGGAAGTTTCTCTGTCCTTTGCCAAAATATAATTTTGAAACCGATCCTTTGTTAATGTAATTAAATTCTAATAATCAGACTATTTATATTCCTAAGCCAGCACAAAACATTAATTAAAAGCCAAAGTGACAAATTATGGTAAGTAAAATAAGCTAAGAACTAAAATTTAATTACATTTTCTACAGTCGAGTAAAGAGAGTAGTTTTACATTTTTTACGATTAATTGCTTATATTAATTCTTCCATCTGCAAAAATTTCTTTAAGACATGTTTTGACATGATAAAGAAATCCAGTTAAATCAGTTTAATTTTATTTATGTAAAACTTCAATCTTGTAAAGAATTACAAACAAAACATTTTGGATAAGTGACCAAATCCCTTTTAAATCACTTTTTATCTTTTAAAATAGTCTTTGAAATAGCAGACTGATGTTAAAAATGGCAAATAAAAATTAAGAGTTCTGTAAAGCATTCAAATTATTATTCTATTTATTATTATAAAAAAATATATATACAGAGTGATTCAAAAGAACTTAGAAATATATAAAAGGTTCAATACAAAACAAACCATTTTTACCCAAGAATATATAGTCCCAAACACCATGCAGAGTTGCTAGAAGTATGGGAAGAATCATGCAGAAAGTAATACATGTAAGATATACAATATGTTTATTAGAAAACTCAGGTGGCATTTATGGCTATATTTTCCTTGGTAAAAATGATTTGTTTTTGAATTCCCGACTTACATATAA